CTTCTGCTGTGAGAAACTAAGAAGGTGGGAATCCAAACAAAGGCAGGCTCTATCATAAGAGCCTGCCCTCAGCCATAGGAAATCAATTGTTTCTTGTGACTAGTTTGCCTACATTTTTAGTCTTCCAAAAGGCTGTAAAAATCATGCTGCTCTTTTGGCATTTCAGTTAAATGGGGCCACCAATACTATAATCTGTTTTTTTTATTTTTATATAAAAATTTATAAACTTTATTAAAACAGATATAAAACACATATGACAAAAACATAAAAATACATTATACAATAAACATTTATAAATAATCATTTGAAGCGTTTGTTTCGTAATGGTCTTTCAAGTAATACAGTTATACTTATTCACTTAAATCTTAACTTAATAGTTTCTTATTGCCTTTTTATTTTATAAAGTCTGGAATAAATGGTATCAATGGCATAGGGCTACTAAGGAAGAAATATAACTAGAAGTCGAATAGAATAGAAGTACAAGTGTGCATATAATTACTTCCTTATGAGTGAATAAACCTACAGAGAGAAACTCAGAAAGTGAAGGTATAAGCTAATATGTACAGATTGTTAAAGCAGAAGTCTTAGAGAGCAGAAGAGAGGAGAGGGAAAAAAGGCTATAATCTGGTTTTTAATGTTGTCTTTTACTGCTGAAGCTGAATTGTTTTAATTGAATGTTGGTTTTGTATTTTGTGTCATTGTGAGCTACGCAAAATCTGTGACTGAGATGGAGAAGCAAACAAATGCTAGCAAATAAATAGATAAATTTCCCTAAACCTGAATCCAACACTTAAAAAAAAAAACAGCAAAATTTCCCAAATTAAAAGAAAAAGACTGAAATGGCTCTATAAAAAATTATAATTGGAAGGCACTTATTTAATGGAAAATACTATAATCAATTTCTAAAATAAAATTTGGAAATGGAAAAAGTTGAGGGAATGTCTTTTAATTCAATGAAAAAAAATTACCCTTAACCAGTGAGAATTATAATTATAATGACAAACAGATTTTCAGCAAAAGTACATAGACCCCTGGATTCTACCTTTTTTGTAACAATATCCCTTTTTTTAACACACTTATATCAAATTTAAATGAGACAACAAAACACCAAATTCCTTATATTTTGCTGTTGGTTTTTCAGGCCAAGGTACGTATACTTTATATACTTCAACATAGACAATTAATGAACACACTATAATATTCTAAATGATTTCAAAATGCAGCAACTATGGTAATTTTACTGTTTGTAAAGCAATAATCTAAATTAAGTTTTAAAATGTCTAGCTTCTCAGAAAAGGTAATTTATAAAAGCAAACACCTGCCTCAATTAATAGATTTATTGCCCACTGGAGTTTGAACATTTATGGTCATCCCACATTGAGATCTGTGTACAACTTCCTCAAGTAAGCAGCAGTCAACCAACATCAGAAATAGCTTTCAGGAGGTGGTCTAGGAACCAAATGTACTTAAATTAATTTTAGCACAGGGAATTTCTGAAGTCTCCTTTAGAAATTATGCTTATTTATCCAAAGCAGTTTCACTGTACCCAGTAGTTCTTATTCCTTACTGTAAATTTAGGAATGCAATTTCAGAATTTACTTTGCAATGTAAAAGGTTCCTTATTAAACAAGCAGTTGGATGAAGTGGGGGGGAAAATAACTCTTCCCTTTATAATTGTATTTCTGACCATTATTTATCACTTTTGGGGCTTAAAATGTTTCAAAGGAAAATAGAAAATAAATCCTTTGTTAAATGAACTGATAAAAAGTTAGGTGTAAATAGGTGTATGTGTGTTTGTGTAATCCAGTAAATTAACTAGTTTTATCCAAAGAAAACTTCTGAGGTCTCCAGAGTTTCAAGTGATGTATGTTTAAATAAATCTTCCATGTTACATATTTAAGAGCTTCCAATTATTTATATCTTATTTCAAAGATCTTATATTATTTGTATTAAATTTCACTGATTACTACAGAGTCCTATACTAAATTTATGTTTATCCTAACTCTAACATATATTTCAAAGTAAAAAAAGATTTTTAGACTGTGCATACAGGAATGTAGCTTCCACAACATTATAAAACAAGTTTTGGATCTTGTTTTTAAGAACAGCAAGTATATCATTCACTAGCCATGGTGATCTCTTGTCTCGTAAACTCCAGGTAGGATTACTGTAATGCATTATTCATGAGGTTGGATCTTCAAATCATGCAGAATTGCATGATGTATCTTGATTAAGTCTATTATATCAACTTTTATGGAATTAGATGGCTACTATTTGTTACTAAGAAAATTCACGCATTAAAGTTTGAATTTCAGCATTAATGCTCTGAATAATTTGCTATTCAAATAAGTTGCAAAGTGCTCCTACCCCATTTTATTTTTTCCACTTATTATTTTGCAAAAACACTCTTAAGAAACCTGTTTATAAAGCAGGTTAGTAGGACCATACTAGAAATCAATTGCAACTGATTTGTTTATAAATTCATCAATGATGAATTGATGAATGTTAAGTGTATACAACTGGTTGTAGTTAAATTAACTATCTACAATCGCTTGTATACAATTAACATTCTAACTTTTCCATATGACTCCCCCACCTCATGCTTTCAAATAATTTAAAACAACTCTGTGTTTGAGTCCATACATTATGCTAAATTAGTGTTTGTTTTAACCATGATTTGCTGAATCAGCCCCAATGGCTGAAAGAAACACACATCATGCTAAGCCATGGTAAAACATATTACGACTTAGTATGAAATGTAATCTAAGCCTTCATCTCTTCACTTCTCCAATCTGGTAAGAAATATGTTAAACAATGTTCAACTGGAACAAAAAAGAATCAATTTTTTTTTTAAAGGTATTCCAATATAACATGCTTGATGCAGTTGAACACTTCTTTGGTATTATGCTTATACAAAGTATAGAGTAAAAACCTTATATGTCAGATGATTCTTATTTAATACACTAGTTCTCAATTCAGAACATTGCATGCCATTAGAGCAAAATAGCAATCTGTTACATCTGATACTCAGTATTAGAAATATGTTACTTTTAAAAGTAATTTTGATTCAATAATTTTGCCTCATCTTGTCCCAAAAAGTCATCTTGCCAAAGAGGATACCAGAAGGATTGAGATCTAGATATTGCATGAAATAAGTTGCCTCTTTAGTGAGTTTTTATAGGAGAGAGAGAAAGGACACTGGTTTAAACTGCATTCAAGAAAAAAGGCCTATTCACTATGAGGATTTATGGAGAGAAAACACTTTTAGAGGGTTACAGTAGACCCAATGCATAAAATGCACCTATTCTATGGAAGTAGGTCTGTTTCAGGGGACTTGGGGAACAACTAAGGAATGAGAGGTATCAATCCTGCACCCAGGGTTGTTTAATTATCTTTCTCATTACAGTACTGTACACAATTATTCTACCTTTGTCCAGTCTCAATTCTATTTTTCACATTACTACAGACAACTGACACAACTGCATACTAAAAGGAATAGTGTTCTTCCTATCACAGTATCCTTCAAAGACAAATTGGTTAAGGAGTTAAAAGGGCTTTTAGCAAATTAAATTAATGCCACAGAAAACAGTTAACAGTTTTTAACTAATAGTACTATTCAACTACGATATTTAAGTACAGTCAATATAAGTACTAGCAATATAAAACACATAAGCAATACATTTAAAAAAATCAGAAGCAGTAAATAAATCAGATGAGGCCTAAAAAACCTGTGATTTTTTTAAAAAAAGGGTTGAGTAAGCTGAAATAGAATGGAATATAAAAAAATAAAATAGTATGAAAATAATTTCCTCATAATAATAATAATAATAATAATAAATTATTATTATAATGTCCCCATTCCAAGATTTGAACATCTTATGCCTACTTATAGAAATTACTGCAGATAAAAACTTAGCAGTTGGAAGGTATACATGCTTTACAGTTTGCAATATAGTGCTTGACTTACAGCCATTCATTTAGCAACCTTTTAAAGTTATGACACTGAAAAAAGTGACTTATGACTGGTCTTTGCACTTATGACCATTGCAGCATTCCCATGGTGATATGAGCAAAATCTGGGTAGTTGGCAACTGCATCTATTTATGGTGGTTGTGGCATCCCGGAGTTATGCAATTTGTGATCTCCCCAGCTGGCCTTTGAGCAGCCAATGGAGGTGGCTGGATTTGTGTAAAGATTCATTTAACAACTGTAGCAAAAAAAAAGAAAAATCGTAAAATTGGGTGTGACTCACAACTGCCTTGCTTAGCAACAGAAATTCAGGTCCCAATGGTGGTTGCTAGTTGAGTGTTACCTGTATTAGATTGGAAGTGCAATAGAACTACAAGATGCACCCTTGTGGTCATAATTATATTTTTTCATTGTCCCTTTTATACATTATACATGCAGATATATCTTTACCTCCACCTAACAACCACCCTTTATCAGCACATTTATTGATCTCTTCTCCCCAGAGCAATTCAAATTCTAACCCAACATCTGGTCCCTTGAGCCTTAAAACCAGAATACCTTGGAAATTAGGTGCTTCTTGGGAAGCACATAGAAACTCACAAGTGTGCTTACAACAGGAAAACCGATGGATGGTGCTGTACACAGATATCCCGCCTGCACCATCTCGACCACCTGCTCTATGACAGACCCTCAAAATAGTCCAGCTTCAGGGCGGGGTGGGGGAGTGAGGACCACTTCAGCAGATTTTTCCCACCAACAAAATTACACCTGATACGCAAGATGTAAGAGGGGGTGGGGGTGGGGCAACCAGCCTTACCTCCGGATCTCCCCTTCCGTCCAAACGGGGCATAATTATTAAAGATCACAATAACCACCGACCTTAGTGGGCCGCCCACCTGCCAGCAGCCCCCTTCCTCACGCCCGCGTGTTTCAATAACCTGCTGACCCGCCTTCCCCCTCCTCCCCACACACATACCTCCCCATCCCCACCGCAGCCCCGCAGGGCTCGCCCAGCGGCGCCCGCGCCTTACCTTCATCCTCGAGCTCCAGTTTCTCCAGCATCCCTTCGGAAGCGGCCGGGGAGTGAGGCGGCCCTGCCTGCAGGAGGGCGGGGAGGGAGACACAAGAGAGAGACGGCGGGATCAGCGGCATCCAGGCGCGGAACTCACCCGACCCGCCGCGGCATTCCCGGCAGGCGCCCACGCGAGGCGAGGAGGCGAAGGCTCGATGGACGGACGCTCCAGGAAGGGGAATGGGCGAGGGGAGGAGCCCAGGCATCACGGAGGGAGGGAGCCAGGCGGGCTTCCCCCGCCTCCCACCCACCCCGCTCCATCCCCCGGCCTTCCCGCCAGGCCCGGGCAGGCGGGCTGCGTCTCCTCTGCCTCTCGCAGCATCGGAGGCGCCCTCCGCGGAGTGGCGGTTGGAGCGTAACGGATCCCGAGTGAACGTTGGCGCGTTTGAAATTCCACCTCGAGACGCCCCCTCCTCCTCCTCCTGCCCCCCCCCTTTCTCGCCCGCCCCCTCCCCCCCTCCTGAGTGGAACATTCCAGCCGGGCCCCGCTTGGTTTTGCACCTTGGAAAGGGGAGGGGGAGGGAGAAAAAGGGCAGCTACCACCTAGCGCTTCAAAGGAGGGGAGGGGACGCTTCCTGATGCCAGCCAGTTAAAAGCCCCGTTGTGCCTTCGCTTCACCTCTGCTTTCAGAGGTGAAACGCCCTAAATCGCCCACCTTTGCTGGGATGGGAATAGAGGCCACAGGCATTGCCCGTTCGCTTCTCCCCCTTCCTCTCCCCATCAGCTGACGTTGGTATTGTCTATGTCCATTTCACCTGCCTGAAGGGAAAAGGCTGCACGTTGCAGAACTGTCCATGGAAAAGGGTCACGATGGAAAATGGGCCTTAATTTTACTAGAGTAATTCCATTATTTCTTGCAGGCCAGGATGTGCAAGCAGATTTAACAGATTGGTCAACTGTCCTAACAGTATAGCAGAGGATATGTGGGTCCTATGTACTTCTTTGCAGCTGCTCCTTGCAGAAAGACATAATTTCTGTAGTACCTGTTGCTTTATAAGTGCCTGAGCTCCCAGGTTTAGTGATAAACCTCAATGGATGTATCTGCACAACACCTGAAACCCAATGTCAACAGCTCAGCTTACAATTATTGAACCAGGACAGCGTGTATGCAGCCTTACCCATTATCTTCCCCCATTAAAGCTATTCTATCTGAGCTGCAAGAATCCAGATGTCCTTGGGATTGGCAGCAAAGAATTAGATTTTTCCTTATGACTGATGCCAACCTAAGGTCTGGATTTTTGCAACCCAGAACTGATGCCATTCCTGCGAATAAGAGAAGGACTGCGTCATACTGCTTTAATCAGCTTCCTTTCTCATTTTCACTGAATAGGAATAATAACAATTGATCTTTCAGCATGTCCTTAAAGCATCCATATATATCGGTTTTTAACCACCCAAACTAATAAGTTCCTAGACATTACTTATTTTAGTTTTTAATACTTAAAACTGCTTTTTTTCAGACTGATGCTGCCAGAGTGAGTGACACATCATTAAAAGCAATCCCTGACTTTAGATTCACCTGGTACTCTACAACATTGGATGGTTTCCAGGTATTTTTTTTTTTTTTACATTTTTCATGTAACAAAGAGATGTTGCCTTATATCTACCTTGGTTTATGATATCCACTGTTTCCTTATACTTCTCCCTGGCAAATCACTGCCAAATTCTAAATACCTCTAACAACAATAAAGGGCTTCTAAAGGTAGATGCCACAGCAGTTTGATTCTTAGTAATTAAGAATCCCTACAATTCCCTTGGCAGAATTTTTCTAAAAGTAGTTTGCCTCTGTCTATTTCTTCCCAGTGGCTGAGAAAAAGGGGCTGGTTTAAAGACCAGATGACAGCTTCAAGTCTAAGGCAGGATTAGAACCCATGGTCTCTAACCAGGTGTCTTAACCACCACACCCAATATGTTCAAACCTACAGTTTATAAATACTGCATATTATTTACACATTATTCAATTTTGAATAGTCAATGAACTGATATGGTTAAAGAAAAGGTCTTAGTTTTAGGGAAAATCTACACAAAAACAGAAAATCTCATTTCAAATAAAAAAAAAATCTTTTAATTTGCTTTAAAATGAAAAGCTGCATCAATTGGCTTTTTAAAAGAAATCTATTAGCGCTATGTTTTTAGGCTTCAGTGTTTTTCAAATCAGGTTTTGTATAAAATGGAATTAAGTGCTGACCAACCTCTGAGGAAATTGCCCAATACGATGTTGTTTTTGAGCTACCACACTTTTTTGCCAAAATCTGAGATTTTGCCCATATTTAATCCAAGTTGAATTTGCCATTCTTTCAATACAGGCCTATTTTCAAAGCATGCCCCAAATATAGATTGCTAGATAACTGTGCCCTGTTGGGTCATTGTTGCAGAGATATTACTTGACAAGATTCCTCAATAATCAGTATCTGATTATCAGTATCTTCCTTGAAAGTAGCCCATGTGGAACTTTTATGACATTTTGGATGTCATAAAAAGTTTATGATCATTTTTGTCATAAAATAGTCTTTAAATTTGCCAAATTTCAGTTCCATAGGATTCATGGATCCCACAGTTTGAATGCATTCTGTAAGTTAGCCCATTTGAAGTAACATTCAAAAACTTTTGCCCTATGATGCAATAGTTCACCCACTTAATGGTTACAGATATGAGAGTTTTCAGAGTACATAATATTTCATACAAAGCATGCTTATCCAGAATTTAGCATCTGTAAAGAAAGAGATAACCTGTATGGTAATATGGTGTCACTGGCACTATATCTACCACTTCATCTTCTGACTTAATAGGTAATATACACATTTTATTTTATTTTTATTTTTATTAAATTTATATGCCGCCCTTCTCCCGTAGACTCAGGGCGGCGCACAGAATTAAAAAACATATAACAATAAAAATCCTAAAAACAGCCAATATAAAACCCCAAACAGAATAAAATCTCGTAGCAGATCAGGGAAATTGCTGAAACAGCCATGCCTTCAGGCTGGTGCAGAAAGTGCGGAGGTCAAGGGCCGTCCAGAGCCCGATTGGTAACTCATTCCAGAGGGTCGGTGCGGCCACTGAGAACGCCCTCATCCTGGGGGCCACCAGCCGACATTGTCTGGCCAATGGTACTCGGAGGAGGCCAGCCCTATGTGATCGCACAGGGTGGTGGGAGGCCGGTAGGAGGCTGGACTCAGTTATTTCACTATTCCATGGTTTTCAACCTTGCCAAGTTTTAAAATGGGTGGACTTCAACTCCTGAAATTCCCAGCCAGCAGAGGGTTTAAAGTTGCCAGTGTTGAAAAACAATGCACTAAGCTATGCCTTGACTAAGCCATCACCATTTAGATTTGTGCAAAATACCCCAATGTGTGCATTTACTAAGCTAAAGCTAAGTAAACTATCCTGTGGCTTATCACAATGTATGAAAATGTTTTACTTATTTCAAAAAATAGTATTTAATACTTTTATATCTTAAAAGTACTGATGACTAATTCTAAACACATTAAGTTATTAAAACACTGCTCAAAATTATTAATACATCATGGATATCAATAAGAAATTAATCTTATTTTAACCTGATTTCATCAGCCTACTGAGTCATATAAAACTCCCCCATTTCCAGATTCTCCATAAATATTTTCCCCTATTCAGTTTTAACTTCTACTACTTTATGTATGCTATTAAAACCGAGTAATTGTTGAAGAATAAAAAACTTCTTTCATTGCATACCAGTAATTCTAAGAAATTTTGATTCTAAGAAATTCAGAGCATTTGTTTTAAAGTTAAGTTTTATACAGGTAGTCCTTGTGATTATTCATTTAATAAAATGAAGTTACAATGATGCTGAAAAAGGTGACTTACAGTGGGTCTTAAAACCTACAGCATCCCTACGGCCAGATGATCAAAATTTAGATGCTTGGCAACCGATATGTATTTACAAAGGTTGCAGTGTCTTCAGTCATGTGATCACCATTTGTGACTTTCCAAGGGGGCTTCTAACAAGCAAAGTCAGAACAGGAAAAGCCAGATTCACAAAAAAGGATGTAAAATCATGTGTGACTCATTTAATGACTGCACCGCTTCGTGATGGAAGCTCCAGTCCCAATTGTGGCCATAAGTCAAAAATTATTCATGCATTGACTCATTATTAATATCATTCGATTATCATTTGATCAATATGCAGAAGAGTTTGTTTGAGTCTATTTTCCTGTCATTGTTTCCCTTGCTCTTGCTTATTTTTATTATCAGTCTCTCCATCATGTTTGAAAATGCAATCGCAAAATAATTCCCATCAAAATAGGTTGATGCGATGGCACTATGGGCATGTGAGTGAATCAACACCAAAAGAGAGAGAATTGCACAGGTCATGACCACTGCCTTGAGTTTGCAGAAAATCAGAGCTTCAAACAAATCCAGATGATCAGAACTGTAAACAAATCACGATGAAAGCCTACTCAGCCAATGGCAATCTTTATTTAAGCATCAGCATCAGTCCACTCAGTAATATTTACTTTGAAGTAATCTGTCTCCCTTCTGATATTTGATATTTTAGTTCCATTGTTCCTGCCAGCATTGAATTATCGGAGTTATAATTATAATCTAAAACATCTGGAGAATATTAGGCTGCATAGCCCCTCTAGCACTTTGATCCATGAAAGTGGATTTTTTCCAGGCTATAACAAAATGTCTTTAAAGATACAAGAAATCAGTTGATTCCTGGTCAATCTTTTTTTTTCAAGAACAAAGGGAAACCTATTTCTATCCTCTTCATATTATTTTGTAGTTTCTTCATGCAGATAACTAATAATCACTGTATGTAACTCCCATAACGTTATAAATCTGACTTGTCAATAATGGCTTTGCAACAATAAAAATTAATCCTGGATTAAGTGGACTCCATTGCTAACGTGACTGTCCAGTTATACCTGTGTAATTTGTTCATTTTTAAGAATATTAATTCACTGTGATTACATTATTTAACCAGATTCTTTTTAATTTTTCCTTACTGTTAGATTGTAAGGAAGTGTGTTTTTTGCATGGCTTAAAGCCCTGCAACTTCAGTGGCAACATTTGTATACTCAAAATCTGTTTCCTCTTTGCTCCTATGCTGTGTGGCAACTGACACCATGGCAGTTTACTAACCTCCTTGAATGCAGAACATTGCGCTTTCAAATGAGCCACCATGCAAAGAATACAAATCTGGAAGGATTCCTACCCATGAGATTTCAACTGCTTTAACTCAACCAGTCTCCAATTAAGAAACACACCAAAATCTTAATTAAATGTACTTATTTTCATGTATCAGAACTTAAGCACAGCTGTTCAGATGCAGCCTTAGAATTCTGAAAGTTTGCATAGATAGAAGAAGGAACTTAAAAGAGCTCTTTGGCCAATTTGGCCATTTTTATTTATAGATACCAGTTTTCAAGTTGTTGCAATTGTTTGCTATCCAAGATCCACCAGGTGGAACCACCAGGAACAAAATTGGGCAGGTCTCAGTTTAGCACAGTCCAGAAATTTATTGCCAAGTTTTTTAATTATTCCACATGAAAAAACTCCCTCCTGGCTTCCTCCCAGATTCTCAGTTCCAAGCTGAGTTTGAAAGGGCACGGGCTCCTTGCTATTTTTAAACAAATGGGGAAGAAATGGTGGGTGACTTGCAAGTCATCCAGATACTGATTCATATCTGGCACCCCTGTTATAGAGGGTCTCCACAATTCTCAGGTACTGTAACGAACTCCTGTTGGGCTACAGGAAAGATGTTTTTAAAGAACCACTCAGCAGCAGAGCTCACAGAACGGGAGCAATCGGGGCAGCAAAATTTTAAATTAGAATGTAAAATACAGGTAGTCCTCGATTTATGACCATAATTGAGCCAGGAATTATAGTTGTAAATCATGCTGATTGTTAAGTGTGTCACCATACGGCTGCACCCAATGTTACGATGTTTTTTGCTGCAGTCATTCAGTAAATCACTATACTCATTAGGCAAATGCTGCTGTCATTAACCAAACCCCTTGCCCAGTGGTGAATTCCAAAATTTTTTACTACCGGTTCTGTGGGCGTGGTGTGGCTTGGTGGGCATGGCAGGGGAAGGATACTGCAAAATCTCCATTCCTACCCCACTCCAGGGGAAGGATACTGCAGAATCCACATTCCCTCCCCACTCCTGGGGGAAGGATATTGCAAAATCTCCATTCCCACCCCACTCTGGGGCCAGCCAGAGGTGGTATTTGCCGGTTCTCTGAACTACTTAAAATTTCTACTACTGGTTCTCCAGAACCTGTCAGAACCTGCTGGATTTCACCCCTGCCCTTCTCTACAGCGAGCATTCTTTTGCCAGAAATTAAGCACTGATTTTCAGCAAAAGGGGTAAATTGCAATCACGTGACTGCAGCTGTAAATGTAGGTTGACTGCCAAGTTCCAAAATCTGATCATATGTCTGGAGGAGGGTACACCAGTCATCATCAGCCCTGGGAGGGGGGGCGGGCAGGGGGGGGAGGACAGAGGCCAATCTAGAAACTTTAAATCTGGGTTGTAAGTAGTTGTGGGGTCGTTCATCATAACTGAACAGTTGCTGAACAATTAGTCATAAGTTGAGGACTATTGTACTACTTTTTTTAAAAAAAAAATTCTTACAAACATCTCCCTTACAGTGAGAACTCTTAGGTGTCTATCCTGCATTTTAGAAAAATATTTAAATGTCAAGCCGTGGCTAAGTCCAAGAAACCAAGGCTTAGCAACGGTATCCCAATCAAGGAACTGTCAACTCAAATAATCAAACAGCAAATAATAGCCTAATCATGGAACTTCTAAGAAGAAAACAACATTCTCATCAACATTGACAGGGCAAGCCACTAATAAGGGCGGGCAGCTATGGCCTCTTTACAACCTGTGGATTTCAACTCCCAGAATTCTTAAGCCAGCATGGCTGGCTCAGGAATTCTGGGAGTTGAAATCTATAGATCATAAAGGACCCATAGTTGCCTACCCCTGCACTTATATATTGACAGAGCAACCCCACTCCCTTCTAGCACCAATGGCCTTACTAGTTTAGTAATGAAAAATCTGCAAGAAAACAACCAAGCTCAAAGAATACCAAGCACTATATTTCAACCAAGAAAAATGTAATGTCAAACATTTGCACATGCTACATGACTTACTAATACTTATCAGATGAGTAAAAACAAGACAGTAAAAATAAAAGCAGAAATTTTCTTTAAAAAATTAGTCGTGTCTGGTGGCTGCAGTGGATCGCAATATTTAAGTCATTAGATCATATGCAGCCTCAGCCTGATGAACCTACTAAACAACATATATGAACATTTTTAATATTCTATATGTGTGCAATTCTGAAATAAGTCCTCCATTCACATCTATTTACATTTTTAATGCTATTCAAATACATCTTATTTCCTCTTAGCTCTAATGACCCCATCGATCGTGATTTTTTTTTAAGCACCAGAGAGCTGACTGGTAGCTAAACATGATTTTCATGCGGCTCTCATTAACTGAATTAATTCCAATTACATGAATTATTAATTAACTACAATCTATATGTTGCATACTTCAAGGGATTCAGTCACTTGGCAAATGACGTAGGAGCCATGGTGCACAATATTTACAGTGCAGCATTGCAGACTAACTCTAGCCATTGCCAGAAGTTCGATCCTGACCAGCTCAAGGTTGACTCAGCTTCCGAGGTCAGTAAAATGAAGACTCAGATTGTTGGGATCGACGTTCTGAGCTTAGAGAGGGCTATAAAGCACTATGAAGTAATATATAAATCTAAGTGCTATTGCTGTTTAATCTATGACAGTTAAACTGTCCTTGGGTCATATGATCACCTTTTGCAACTTCTGACCAACAAAGTCATTAGGAAGCCAAGTTCACTTAACAAGTGTTTCTAATTTAATAACTGCAGTGATTCACTTAACAACAGTGGCAAGAATAGTCATAGAATGGCAAAACTCACTTAACTGTCTTGTTTAGAAATAGAAATTTTGAGCTTAATTATGGTTGTAAGTCAAGAACAACCTGTACGAAGGTTGAAAAACACTGGTTTAGAACAAAAAGCAATACAGAATGTGAAGATGTAAGCACAAAAAATATAGTCTCTGATTCAGGGGTGAAATGCTCCTGGTTCGGACCAGATCGCCCGATCCGGTAGCGATGGAGGCGGGTGATTCGGAAAACTGGTAGCAAAAATCCCTGCCCCCCTCCATGCCGAGCTGAGCCGCACAATCATCAAAGGCTTTTTTTTTTTTTACTTTTAAAAAAGCATTTTTTCTACAACCACTTCAGCCAAAAAATGTTTTTAAAAGTAGTAAAAAAAGTCTCTGCTGATCGCACGGCTCAGCTGGGATCTTCAAAGGCTTTTAAAAGGAAAAAAACCCTTTTTTTCTTTTAAATGCCTCTGACGATCCAAGCTGAGTTGCCTGATCGGCAGAGGCTTTTTAAAAAATCTCTGCCGATCAGGCAACTCAGCTTGGATCGTCAGAGGCATTTAAAAGAAAAAACCCCTTTTTTGCCAAAGAGGTTGTAGAAAAAATGCTTTTAAAAGTTAAAAAAAAAAAAAGGCCACGCCCACCCAGTCACATTACTCCTCCCACCAAGCCACGCCCACAGAACTGGTAGTAACAAATTTTAGATTTCACCACTGCTCTGATTATTGCAATACTGATAAGAATGACTTAAATATTCATTAGAAATACACAAACAAAAATATTCTGTAGTATGCTAGGATTTTCAGAATCCGATACTATATTTGTAATTCTATTATGTCACAATATTCTTCTTACAGCTATTAATATATTGTGACATTACATGAACTCATTAGTCATGGAAAATTCTATTTTATAAAAGGAAAGCACACCATTTATTATACATTTAGAACAAAAATAGTTCAAATCTGTATTTCACCAGCAGTTCCTTTTAGAGCAGAAACTGTTTTTTGAGGGTGGGGTGCAAAGTTAATAGAAACTGTTACTTTCAGTCAAAATACTGATGGAAAAAGCCACAGCTCAGTGTCAACCAAAGACTACTTAAAGTAATATGAATGAGATTTAAAAAAAAAAAAAAAGAAAGAAAGTGGTGGCAATATAGGAATGTGAATTGTAATTAAACCATTATTAAAGCTTTGTCTTTTATCTCAAAAGTAATTAAACTCTTGATCTAGAAGTAGCTCAAGACCTTTATTCTAAAAATCTTTTAGATATAGATACCAAGACGGATTACAAAAGAAATGCCTTTTTGCAACCAGTTTTTCCTGATACAATTCTTTCTGGTTGCGGGCTTGGAGGTTCCCCCCTCCCCCCCAGACATAATGTTCAATGAATTGCTTTATAAAATGTGGAGGATTTTGCTCAATTTGTTAGTCAACCACATAAAAGCATGCAAACAAACTAATAAGTAAATAACAAAAGAATTGCTTCACCAGTGAGGTAGGTGGCTTTCAATAAATAAACATAATATTACATACAATATATAACCACATTACAAGTTTGCATTTAAATTTTAGAAGTGCAGTCTAGTAAACTTATATCCAAAGACAAACTGAATGAAATTTTCCCATTCCTACTGTCTGTAAGGAATATTGGCCATTGCTATTGGATGACAAAGACAATGCTCTATTAGTGATTATTAGCTCTCCAACAAAAGTTTTGAACTTCAGTTTCTAGAATTCTTAAAATGCTAGCATACTTTGATTTAGGGGAACTCACTCTTATTTCCAAGAACGCCTCCGAGTTGCGTATATATTATTTTCTTAAGAACGAACAACTGAAACAATGGAGGTAAGATCGTTGGCTTGATTTAGAAATGATCCCATCTACCCAGGGGTAAAAACAAGACACAGAAGTAATGGGGAGCAACCTCATG